GCCGCAGACGGAAATGTTCGTACTATTGAGCGGAAATCACTGAGGAATACGTCGCCTTTAAGACCTAGGCTTGACAAATGTCTGTCAGCTCGTCATATCCGCTTGGATGCTTTCCAAGTCAGCTGCCTGATAATTTGTATCAAGTATGCCTTCACTGCAACCCAACTTATACCAACCCCTGTCTAAAACCTCCATCACCTTACATGGTAAAAATCTTCTAACTATCCTTTGCCTGTCAGGGGCTGGTATATGAAGTTTGACTATGTCGCCGATGTGATAGTCCTCTACTATCCTTCTGCCTTTTCTCATCATAACATTTCTTATCAATTGAACGTTATGTTGCACATGTTGCCTAGCAAGTTGACAGACAACTTCGTGGGGATTTTCACTTCCCGTGCCTTCATTTACTTCATCACTCATGGCTGTTTCTCTGGCTGGCTGAGCTATTATCATTTATTGATTAATTATAGAATTAGGTATCTAAAATGACACAATTAATAATCAAATATACTCACCCACTTGAGTGCGCTCATCATATTGTTGGATTTGCTCAGGCCATGTTTCGAAAATTTTAGACATACCATCATCATTCCCTATTACTCTATTTTCCATCTCTCCATCGTTCCATTTCCTTAAGTCCTCCAGACAACACATAGTAAAATTCCTATCCATTTCAGTAAACTCTCCATGTAACTTGTGTCTCAGCCAGGCATCTAACTGACATGCATAGGTTATACGACTTCTACTTGGTGGAAATATTTTGAATGGTCTATACATCATGCTATCCTGGATAAAAAATCCAGTTTCGTATCTTTCAATGAGGTTGATATCATCTTCTGAATATGGATCATTATCCAATTCATTTTCAATTGCTTGTGGATTGGTTAGTGGTATATGCTCATTGTCTTCACCATTATTTCCAGAATGGGCTGTAATACTGACATTTCCAACAACATTTTCAAGTTCGTCATTTTCATAGTTTTCACAACCATCCCCATCATTATCGTCATTATTATCATCTTCGTCACCATCACCATTTTCATCATCATCTTCATCACCATCACAATTACCATCTTCACCTTCAATATTTACATTATCCAGAATGTCCTCTTCGTCAATGATACCCATACTCTCAAGTTCTGAAAGTAATGACCAATTACTTCTTGGACGTTGTGCAAATACATGATATGGTGAATCATTAGTAGCGGAATGAATTTGTGTATTCATCGCCCCTGTAAAACAATTACTGTCAATATTCCGTTTGATTGGTATTTTTAAATCGTTTAAGATACTGTACTACTTACATACTACAAGTGGCAAGCCTGCACTCCAATCTTCTCTATTGCCTACTTCCAACCATGTGGATAATTTAGCTTCTAGTGTTGCATTGCCCCTTTCAATTAAACCTTGGGATTGTGGATGCCGTGGATGACTGTTAATAATGCATGTTTCTGGCCACAATCCAACAAGATCACGAATTATTTGCGCCACGAATTCCTTGCCATTGTCGGACTGCAGAATAGTGGGAGGTCCAAATTGTGTAAACATCTGAAAAAGGAAACTTGCAACTTGTATAGCCTCTTTCCTTTCCAAGGGAGCTGCCCATGAAAACCGAGTGAAGTGGTCTTTCGCATGCACAATGTATTTATATTCACCATCTGGGCGACTTCTCATATCGATAAGATCGACCTACGTTTATCAATAAAAAATAACTCAAAAAACAGATAAACAAAGTAAAAGCAAAATAATTAAAATATTGCTTACTTGTACGCGTGTCATAAATTCGTTAGCTATTATAGGCTTTGCTGACACCGTCTTTTTAAGCGGACGTCTAATTGTGCAAACACTACACGCTTTCACAAATTTGCTAACCAAATTTCGAGGGACGTAACTATATTGCTGATATATCTGCGAACGTTTGTAAGTATTATATAAATCAATAATTATTATTCGATCTCTCGCTTCCGTAGTTTATCAGAGATAAACACTTAATCGGGTTTATGATTTAAATGCTGGGAAAACAAGGCATGAATTGGTGTCGCATTTGGCATCAACTTACTTCACTATAAGTTTTCCTATATCCAGGATGTTGTAATGCGTTATGTAAGGTACCAATAACATCGTAAAGATGTTCCACAACACATACGGGTTTTTGGCGTTGCTTTTGAACAAGCTTTTTATTATTGCCGATGTCCATTGTGATAAACTTTTTTTGTACCCAAGGCCTAAACTTAGGGTCTTCGCTCTTGTATGTGCTGTCTTCAAGCGCCTGAATTGCCCGATCATATGTTTCTTACGAAATAACTGCTTTTGCGCGTCGATTTTCTGGCAAACCATTTATGTACGCCTGAAATAACTCATCAAATTTTTCCCTGGACAGAAACTCAAAATTATTAGCAGACATATTGATATAGTTATGACTTATCAACTCTTACAACAACGCGCTGAGTTTATATAAAATTTGACAATATGTTGGACGAACCGCTTATTAAATCGATTTAATATTTTATTATACAGTTTATAATATTATATAATCATAATGCTATTATAGTCTATTCTATTCGGATGAATTATGGATCGTATGATTATTAGCATACTCCGAAAAATAATCGCTAAGTGTCGTATGATTGACCATAAATCCTTTGACAATCATATTGAGCAGATAGTTTATGAATCGTATGATTATTAGCATACTCCGAAAAATAATCATTAAGTGTCGTATGATTGACCATAAATCCTTTGACAATCATACTGAGCGGATAGTTTATGAATCGTATGATTTACGATTCCGTATTTGCATACTCAGTATGTTTCATGGTCAATCATACGACTTACGATTTGTCATTTTTTTTTAAAATCGGTGACATTGTTTACGAAATTTATCGAACGATTTATAAATTGGTCGATCATACGATTATTTTTTGACTCCTTCAGGTAGGCCAAAAGCGGAGCAGATGAATCGAATTATTTACGATTCTGCATTTGCATACATGATCAATCATACGACTTACGATCTGTCATGTTTTTTTTTTTTAAATCGAATGAGTTTGCCTACAAATTTTATCGAATGATTTAGGATCATACGATCGACTATTGTTGTCAAATCACCAAATTTATCGAATGATTTATGATTGGCTTGGATTAAGCAGATAGCTGATCTTTACAATTTTATTGGTTGGCAGAGATATCATTCGATCAATCCGCCTGGAATATTACTTGGTGAATAGACAGAAACAATTGAGTCAAGAAATAGATAGAAGCAATTGAGTCAAGAAATAGACAGAAGCAAGAATGTATCTCACTAAGTAAAGGGCAAGAATAAGCATACGTCTATTGAAAATAGAGACGTTGTACTTTGATAATAGTAAGCAGTATAATTGTGCATCTTATTGATGAACATGTCGTTGGTACGTCAAACGTGAGGCCTTGAATTTGAAAATGCAGAATCTGAGACAGGTAAACGAACTTTACTGAATGCAAAAGCATACAAATCCGCAAGCGGAGAAGGCTTTGTCAGTATGAAGCGGGTTGACGCATTTGGTCTTACTCTAAAACCTTTCCCTACTTTTCAGAAAATGTATTCTTTATTTCGCCTCTCTTTATTAGGTAGATATATATACAGTATACCGAAAACTGACATTAGCCATGTACATGTAGCTTAGACGTATTGAATTTAACTGACTATTAACAATAAAAGATAAAGAGCATAATAGTCTGTATGTGTTACTGTAATGAAAATTTTTCTTGCAATTATCCCATCTTGAAACGGGCTGGCCCATTTCAGGTACCCCAGAATGGGCCGTAACAATAATATACAGGCAAGCTTTTCTTATCAATATTTCGCATGCATCTTGGATTCTTATACTTATGTATAAAGACAGGGGTAAGTTTTGAACTGCCAGTCGCATTACAAGTCAATAAAACGGTAACACAGTCCTTTGATTTTTTACGCCTGAGACTGATTGATGAGCAAGGGTTCTCGAAGGCTCAAGTTTCCAGAAAAGAGCAGTCTCGTCACAATTATAAACATCTTCAAGATTCCATGTAGCCAAAAGATTTTGGAGGTCAGTACGATACTGTTGAAGGTCTTCTAACGGCGCCGAGTTGGCTTCGCCATGACGAAGGTAATTGCGAATGCCATAATGCTTTTTAAATCTATCGAACCAACCATTCGATCCCTTAAAGTCTTGTATACCTAAGCGCTGTGCGAATGTCACAGCTTTTTGAATGACAATGTGCCCAGATAGAGAACAATTTCCGTCAACCACTTGGTCAATCCAAAGAGCTAATGCTTGTTCGACAGCTGGATATTTGGATGGTTTTTCTCGGCATAAACTCGCGGTATAATTGTTGGGTGATAGCAACAAGTAATGATGCTGCTTTTTTAAAATGTCAGTAATAGTCGACTCACCAACTCCATATCGAGAAGCTAGCTCGACA